TTTTTTGTGTTGTGATCGCAACACCACTTTTTTTTGTTTGATTGTTTTTTGTACAGAGCAAATGTTCCTGTGTCTTTTTTCTTATTAAGTTCTTCTCCTACCCCCCCCCCCCCCCCCCCCAAAAAAGAAATTTTTCGTGCAACGCAAAACAGATTTTTTTCAAAGGCGAGTCACTTGTTGTTTTGCTCGCCCTACCTAACAAATCGCTCTAGGAAAATGGCTTCGAGAACGATCGCAAAAATTAGTTATCGAATAAAATCCTTAATAATATAACTTTACATAGATTACATAAAATATATGAAATAGTCTGGAAGATGGACAACTTTGTAAGCGGAAATATATTTAAGACTTATCTGCCTACAACGCGAACTGTTGAAAAACTAAGAAAAATAATATATTTTATTATTTGTTTATTTGCATTTTCTTTTAAAATGACTATACTGAAGTTAATACTATTATGTTACCTTTTTCTCCCTGTTGGCTATATTGGTCGGACTGCAACTTTTTACGAACGTCGCTATCTTCTATACACATCCCTTTATTGTCGCTCGTAAACGCAAAAGTAGATTTCGTGTGGCGACAATCACAGTTGCAGCGCCCAAGTTGAGCATTATCCAAGGCATTGTAAGAGCCACAATCAAATTCTGTTGTTTCACCACAGTTCGAATCAGGGATTGTAAATTTGTCAGACTCTATTCCAACATTCCCATGCGATGTTGTTCTTGAAATCGTGTAGGAAACTGGCTCAGTGTAACTAATTTTGTTATACAGCAACAACAAATACAAGAGAAAGATCGTTTCGTCTTTCATGGCATAAATTTAGCGCTATGAATGGGGCCTAATTTTTCAAGAAACGGTTTCACTGAGTGAAGAAACAATTATCATCACTTGGTATTTAGCATTAAACGTTGGCGGTGACTGCTCTTGAATATTGGTCTTTCAAAAATGAAACTTCCCACACTCGTGCCTCTTCGGGGTTCCAATTTACTTTCTTATTTCGCTTTGTATACGTAAGAACTCGATAGATGTTATGCGTCAAAATGGCAAATCAGTCATTCGTAAAAGGCAATTCGGATTTCCAAACATCACCCGAACATATTAGTACTTCTTAAAATTTATTACCCTTCAATAATGTTAAGTTCGTTNTTTTAAAATGACTATACTGAAGTTAATACTATTATGTTACCTTTTTCTCCCTGTTGGCTATATTGGTCGGACTGCAACTTTTTACGAACGTCGCTATCTTCTATACACATCCCTTTATTGTCGCTCGTAAACGCAAAAGTAGATTTCGTGTGGCGACAATCACAGTTGCAGCGCCCAAGTTGAGCATTATCCAAGGCATTGTAAGAGCCACAATCAAATTCTGTTGTTTCACCACAGTTCGAATCAGGGATTGTAAATTTGTCAGACTCTATTCCAACATTCCCATGCGATGTTGTTCTTGAAATCGTGTAGGAAACTGGCTCAGTGTAACTAATTTTGTTATACAGCAACAACAAATACAAGAGAAAGATCGTTTCGTCTTTCATGGCATAAATTTAGCGCTATGAATGGGGCCTAATTTTTCAAGAAACGGTTTCACTGAGTGAAGAAACAATTATCATCACTTGGTATTTAGCATTAAACGTTGGCGGTGACTGCTCTTGAATATTGGTCTTTCAAAAATGAAACTTCCCACACTCGTGCCTCTTCGGGGTTCCAATTTACTTTCTTATTTCGCTTTGTATACGTAAGAACTCGATAGATGTTATGCGTCAAAATGGCAAATCAGTCATTCGTAAAAGGCAATTCGGATTTCCAAACATCACCCGAACATATTAGTACTTCTTAAAATTTATTACCCTTCAATAATGTTAAGTTCGTTTTGTTCCAGGCACTCTAAAAGAACTTCCCCTTTTATAAAAGGTAGGGAAAAATCGTTATACGTGGAAAACTGACATAGCTGAATGGAAATTGTTCAAACAAGGTTTCGTTTGTCGGTGCTGTTAAAGTAGACAATTAAAGAATGAACCGAATTTACTTTTAAATAAGAGTTAAAATTTCGAAGTCAAAATACTTAAGCAATACTCGCCTTCAGGTGTTATTAATGATGGTGAAAAAAGCCCAAAAAACACTGTCGATATTAGGTACGACAAAAAAGATGCTTGCACAGGATCATGAGATTCATAAGCAAATATCCTGAGAGCCTCATGGCGTTGTTACGTACGTACAAAAAAAAAATAACATTCAAAAATGACTTTATGCCCAATTCAAATGCTACCCAACCTATTATTTGTCTTTTAGTCAGCTCGGCGACGATAGTATCAATAATGTATACCGAGGTTACCCAAGCGAATCGTACTACCTTTAAATACTGTCAATGAAATGATTCATTCACTATTGCATGATAATAGACCTCTTAATTTGTATGCTTTGTTTTGTTTTGTTTTTTTTTTGTCCCAATGTAGATCATGCGATAATTCTCCAGAGAACTGTTTCTTTCAAATTTCCTCTTATTCGCGTGCATTATGTACGCATCATTTATGAAACGACAAAGGGCCATCCCTTATTAGTTCTTCGGTGGACCTAAAACCTTTTTCTACATGATCAGTTTTATTCCTGATTGATGTCACTTCAGATATTGTTCTCTGACTTATAATCTTCTGTCAGACAAAAACAGCCTATTCTGTAATAGGCTATATGTATATATTAAAGAAAGCCTCTTACCATGGGAAAAAAAAGAACAACAACAAAAAACACTTTTAAAGTTTGTTAGCGTTACTCAAGCAGCTAGTTGCTGTTCAATTCAGGCTTTCGATTTGAATGATACGGCGATCGATCCTTATAGGGTGTGAACAACGAAACTCATGAAACAAACTGAAATCAATTCTGCAATATCACCTTTTTATTCAATTTACTTGCCAAATCTATTTATTTATTTACGAGTGGACAAAGTTATTTAACTTTCACGGAAGATTTGAGGGTAGGGTTTGAGGGAGACAATCTGCCCCTTAAAATGGATGTGTGACTTAAAGTTTTAGAGCAGGCAATGATAAATTTACAAGCGCATCAAAGGCTGTAGGTTATAAACAGTTATCTTACACTATCGTATTAAGACTCGAATCTCAGTCAATTTCGAGGTATGAAGCAACCAATTGGCTGCCCTTTCTTTCCTATTTTGCAAATGATAATGTATTAACTTTTTTTCCTCCAAGTTTATTGAATTAAGATGCTTCTACATCACATTTCTAGCCTGTAACTGTGGACAGCTGCTCAATAATACTAGCCAGTCTTTATCTTTGTATTTGGCTTTCCTCTGGCGTTTCTCATTTTTTCTTCTTATTGGCAACCGCATACACTGCAATTGTATCATCTTTTGAAACTTAACACTCCACGACGTCGGCGCCAGGACCCTCCTGAACGTTATACACAGGGTCTTGCAAGCCAGTGGGACCATTTTCTTTACCACAGCCAAAACCAAGATAAAGAGGATCCTCCAAAGTGTTGTAGACAGGGTCATTGTTACCGCTTGAGAGACCCTCGTTGGAGACGGGTTTCTCCACAATGTTGTAGAATGGTTCATTCACAGAAATGGCTCCACAACTCCCAGTTTCATTTCTTACTCCAGCGGTTGGCCCTTCCAAGACGTTGTACAGTGGTTCTGTAGGGCAGCTATACTCAGCATTTCTTTGGTCCTCGACCTGTAGTTTTTCTAAGGACTGGTACATTGCTGGGTCTAACGAAAGGCAGCTGTAACGTTGTCCTTCTTCCTTGTCCTGGGCAGGATCTCGCAGAAAGTTGTAGAATGGCTCATCAACATTTCCAGCACCGTAAATATTGTGTCCCTCAGGGACATCAAGAGCAGCATAGACTTCCCCGATTTGAGAATTGCCTGTAAATTTAAATTTATTGTGAAATAATGGCAACAATCAAAAACAGATTGGTTTAGCCCAGAAGTCATAGTACATGTAACTTGAGTACAACTTTCTGGGTAAACCATGGGATGTGCCGATGATGAAAGGGAATATGAGATTTATTTCTGAAAGAAACCATTTATCTGAAAGAAATAAATGGTTTTATGCTGAATGAGACTGATCATTATTGTATTTCTCCAGCTACCAGCAAAGGAGGGTTTCCTGTCATCCGGGTGATTTGTCACGAAAGTGTCATTTATGTCACGGTTCATGTAAGTCACAGAAGCGAGGCACAAGGCTTCTTTCCTCGCATTACAAGACAGTCAGATCTTTCTCCAACCATGGCAGATGTCATTTTAGACGTGGAATTGGCGTGTTTTGTCAGCCGAATGGCTTTTGGCCTGTGCTTGGTTGACGATAAATTTTAAAATACTGGAATTCGAATACCATGGCATGGAATACCAATTGCGATATTAACTTCACACAGTTTTCCGCAATTTGAGTTGGCAGTACAAAGGACTATTGTTACCCTACCCTTTGTCTTTTAAGTAATGGTCCGTGTAAAAGGTAGGCAGGCGAACGGCAAAAGTGATTAAAAGGTGCTAACTTTTAATCATTAATTTCAATTAAATCAAGCGTTCTGATTGGCCGAAATCCAAAAATCGCCAAAAAAACAGTCAGAAACGTGACAAAAACACCTTTTTTTAGCTTTATTTTCCCCATTCCCCTGTCTTATACCTCACGGCCAAGTTTCAGCATTGTTCTATGCGCCAATCAAAAGTTAGAGCGGAAAACGTGCAACACACGCGCGACCTTGTTGTGACCCCATCTTAGTGTGACACTTGAGATGTTAGGAAATTTGTCTTTTACCCGAAGAAATCTCGTCAATTTCTTCGTGAAAAATCTGCATTTTTTCTTTATTGAATATTTATCTCAAATTTACTGTATTTTATCATCGGAGTGATCGTCAAAATGCTCTTAAACATGGTTTGCTGCCGTCCTCGACATGCCGAGTCGCCATGTGGGAATTTGGGCCCGGCGTAGTTGTTTTCGTTGTCAGGCCGGATCAGGAGGAGATCAGAATAATTGTGGCACTAGAAATTGGAGTACAGCTGGGCATAAAAGAAGAAAGCGAAAGATTTGTTGTTTTTACAAGGATGAATTTATTTCTCGAAGAGATGTAGAACACTTGAGCTTGAGGTAAGCTGAATTCAATAGATTTTCGCACCTCCGCGCGCATTATGTGTTATTCATGTGTTTGCCCCTTTCGAAACTTCCATATTCCGTGTATCTTTACCCATCTTTCATTCGATTTTTTTTCTCTCTAGACTGCTTCATCAAGCGAAATGGAAGTTCGCCGTGGACCTTAAGTTAAAATGAGCGAAATGAAATTTGTGACACGTTTGCATTTTGTACCTTTGAGTTCTGAGACGGAGAATACCGAGACGGAAGCCGCTTAGGTATTATAAATAGCTGTCACTGGTGTTTGAGTTTCTCTTGGTACGGAAGATCTAGCGAGCATGACTGTAGCTTGCCTTTATTTTTTCCAAGGACGAGAGAGATTGTAAGAAGGATTTTTATAGAGTAATATCAAAACCTTGAAAACAGATAAACTGTAGCAGAGCTTTTTCTGAAACCCGATTATCCGAACATGCAGGAATTTTTTCTATCTGGGCAACATCCTCTTTTTTTCCAAAAGCAGAACATTTAGATAACATTTGGATTTGATTTTGTGTACTTGTTGTTGTTCTGTATGGTGGCCGAATATGAACGCGCGACATTGGCGCGTTCGCCAGATTCGCCACGTGAGAGTGAATTGCTGCTGTTTACGATCATGGTTTTGACATTTCTTTTGTGAGAGCCGACGTAAATGTTGTTCCCAACGTCGCTGATTGATGTAACACTGTGCTCATATTCGTGTAATTTCATATCAGTTTAACTTCCTCGGGTTTGGCGCATAGAAATCTTTTAAATTTTAGATATGTTATATTTTTCAACATAACAAAGCAATAGACGAAATAAAAAGTTGTTCGAATGAGTCTTAAGCTATCTTAATTCAACTTTAAAATTCAAATTTCGCGCTTTTAGCTGTATTGACCAATCAGAGCATTCAGATTTAATTTGATTAGAGAAATTAGCGCCTGAAAAATAACTGACGCTATTGCCGCGGGCTATTGTTTTTCTGCCTACTTCTTAGCTGGACCATTACTTAAAATCCGCCGCAACTTTGTATCAAAAACGCGCAAGAGGTTACGCCTGTTCCATACATCTGTTTTATCAACCTGGACCTTTTACTCCCTAACAAATGCTAATAACTAATGTTTGTTTTTCTAGTACATTTTTTTAAGCTTTTGTTACGTACGTGGCTCTTTCATCCTGTCTGGTAGGTAATCATTTTGAGTGTCCGGCTGAAATGCTACGTTTTGCGCTGAGTTTCCATTCTAGGGAAGAATAAATTAAAAAAAAAAGTTGTTTACCATTTACATGGGCAAACCGGTCGGCTCTTGGTTTGGGCAAATGGTAAGCAAAATTGAAGACTAGTAAATTTCAATCCGGAATTGAGTTTGCCATTTTCACTAATCAGTTGCATTTCCCGAAAAAACGGCCGCGAAAGTCTGAAACTGGTATCAAAGATGGCTTGGAAGAAAATGGAACACGAATTTCCGTTTGGAACATTCCCACCGGTATAACAGGACCACCTTTTCAGACCCCCCGTCTCCCGGAAATTATCCACCGAAACGACCCGAAAAGTAGTGTTCCAGTTACTTTCCAACCAGACTTTCCGCAAACTTTTTGTAAATGATAAACAGCTATCATATCCTTTCTTGCCGTCTGATCAAACAACGTACAGTGTATGTGGGAAGAATACAACAGAACATCTCTTAAAATTCACCCTATTAGTCCGATTTCCCATACTTATTGGGACATTTTCTAATCTACCATCTCTGTCAAACCTGTTGACAAAAAGTGTCCAAAAATAGTCGAAGTAGACATTTTTCAAGTCAATTTTCCCAGTCTACATAACATAATGTGCCAAACTCACCTTTTTGAATTCCTTAGATGTACTTGCATAAGCATCCTTTCTGTAAACATAAGAAAATGGAATCACTTACTCAGAGCACAATGTGAGCAATTCACATTTTGTCACTTCACAAGATTGTTACGCAGCACAAAAGTCGTCCACACCGTAGATCTCCACTATTGGTACTACTTTAATAATTCTCACTACCTATTATCGACTGGCTTCGTAGCTCATTGGGCTTTCTCGCCGTGGTCAAATCTTTGTAATTGTTTCATCTCTCACACTTTTCTCTCCTCGTCGGTTTTGTTTTTTAATTGTAATTTAGCATACCCACAAGCATCAGCAGCGTCAAACACTTAACACGTTGTTTTCTTGCAGTTCAACCCCTTTACCCTGCATTTTGTTTAGATTCATGGTGTTATTCAAATAAGGCTTCGGCTGGGCCGCTGGCTCTTAAAAAAAGGATGTTAAATTCAGTTGTGATAACCCAAAGACAATCCAAGGGAAACAAAATCATGGATTGAAATTTTAACCCTGTATTAGCGCTAATCGGTCTTTCAGAGACCAAGTGTAGATCACCATATTCCCTCACCATCCAAGTGGTTTACATTGACGCAGGGGTTTCTTATGGATGATAGCTCAAATCCCAAGGCATGCAAATTTTACCATAACTTTGACTGATAACTACATATATGTCGTTTATGCTAGTACTAAACATCTACAACTGTGAAAAGTTTGAACCTAGGAGTCATTTCATAAGTAAGTTGAGTATGATCGTCAGGTTGAACGTAGTCCTGAATAGGACTGTTGTTGTTGTTGTTAACAGTGACTGACGTCTCGACAACCTGAGCGGTAGTCATCTTCAGAGGCAAAGTGAGTTGTATCTCGTCAGCTGATGGTATTAAACTCTGGTTATCTTAACGTTTACCTAGATTTCCGACGTCGGTAAAGTACAACTACGGCAATTACTAGCACAACAGTTGCTATAGAAGCAGCCACTCCTGCTATGAGACCCAGTGAAGAGGACGAACTGGTATCATCATGTTTTTGCTTCTCCTTTATTAATCCTGTGCTTGGCTTTGTTGGGGTCGTCTAGAATAAAAGAACAACAAATCCACGCAACAAAAACAACTTTCATTGTGTTATGCTTTGTAAAAACTTTGTATGATCCACTAAACTTTATGATTAGGCCCGTCTTAAAGTAGCTATTTTATCCTGAAACGTACAAATAGGGAGTAGTTGTGGTGGTTGTGGTAGGACTCTGCGCTCGCCATTCTCATTCCTTGGACTCTGGCACAGTGTTTTTTTTTTCTTTTTTTTTTATCGCAGGAGCATAGAATCTAAAGTATTTCATAAGCACAACATGACGTTGTACATTTGTTATGGGATATGGCATTGCTGGAGACCTTTGATTTTATCATTTTAATTAAGTGGCGACCTCCTGGGCTGATCAATGGTATTTACTTCGAATTTTGTCTAAGCCTTACGTATTCATCCATAATACCAGTTATATTCAATTTCCTGTTCGCGTTTTGCCCCAAAATATGGATAAACCCCAGTCTCTTGACATCGTAACTCTTTTACTGTAGAGATCTACGGTCACCACCTCTGACAAAATGGGGAAATTAATGAAAGGCTGCTGAAAAGGAATCCTTAAAATAACGGAAAACGCCTTGGGAGAAGGGAGGTGGCATGGGCGCCTCCCATAGCCTTGTACAGGAAGTCCCTAGTTTAACCGTGTGTGTGGAACTGAAATACATTTGATAATAAGGCAATGGTAATGAGTTAGGTGTTTGGTGTAAATGAGCAGAAGAACAACAGATAAATAGGCATGTACTTTTCTAGACCCCAGTGTTGCTGTAGACTCTAATGTTGCTGTAGACCGCACTGTCGCTGTAGATGCCAGCCTTGCTGTGGAACCCAGTTTTGCTTTAGACATTACAGATATTGTTTTTAGGGTAGATGAATTAGATGCTGTAGGAACTGTGGACTGAAATCCATGCGGGGGAGGTTTTCTTATAGGACCTATCGTGAAACAAGATAATTGTATTAAATACTGTGTTTTATACAAAACAAAACATATATTACTTAAGATTCTGGCTTGATTAAATTACGAGATAGTTGCGATAGCTTATTATTTTCTAATAATTATAACGGAATATCAGTAAATCAAATAGCATCGACGAGACTATAGGTTTAAGCTTAAAACTGGAAAAATTTATGTGATTTCACCTTAACTTACACGATAAAGTTCCCTCCAGTTTGAATAGCAAACAGCCTGCTCTGTAATTGCGATCAGTGCAGTTTATACCAAGATTGATGATCCGGCCTCGCAATGACGAGTCGTTTAGCACCTGGTTCAATTACATACGTTAATTTATTAGATACACAGAAGGCTTTACACGCTACTTAAATTTAAAATCAATCCTGGGATGTGGACCTTACCTTTAGAAAGTATGCAGAATTGGGCCCAGCTTTTTGCCATTCAAGTCGAAATACGTTTTTAGTTTCTTTGAGTGGAAACTTCTCCCCATAACAACCAATATACCATGAATTATTCAAGTTGACACTGCAGCTCTGACGAACTAGCTGTGTTGCTCTCTGGTGAGCAGTGTTGAGTAGTCGTAAACGGTGTTTTTCTTTTTCACCTCTAAATAAGATTCTCATCCCACACCCTAAACATTGGATAGATGAATAAGCGATGGTCACGTCAGTACTGTATGTCCGGCGAAACGCCTAAATTGTTAAATATTCTTAGGTAACTGCTTGTAGACTCAGGGAATCAAGCTAAGAAAAAAAAAGGGAGGTGGGGGAAATTATGACCAACACTTTCTTCAAAACCCCACAAATACTCTACCGGAGACTTTTTCATAAGGTTTCTTTTTCTGAGTAAGATTAAAAAAAAAAAAATGAAATGCCAATGAACCTCCCCACCCCTATCTCTGTCTTTGACTCCGACTGAGTGGTATTATGAATACCAATTCTTAGTCGCTTCAATAACCCTCGTATTATCCATCGCGCGAGTCAGAAGGAGTGGTAATTATTATTAACCTGATATAACCTTAAAATTGCTGTTGGTAGCCCGGAAAAATTTATCGATCAGTCTGCCATTACAGTCAAGTCCGGTTATTCAGGGGCACCCATCAGAAAAATTCTTACTTCCATAAAACTTTAAATTGCATCCGTCTACGATTTTCGGGAAAATGATGCTGAATCCTATGTAATTTCGGAAAGACTCAAGTTGTACGTGGATAACCGAACAGATACAAATTTTAATAGTACTCTGGATAGCCTAAGAAGTATTTCACTGTATTTAGGAGAAAACCGTTGTTCGGTGCCCCTGGTTATCCTGGTTATTGCGGGCACTATAACGGTGCTTCGACTCACTGTCGTTGATAGCGAGTGTCCGTAATAGCGGTAGTTTATCTCAGTGAGATGTCTAACATTTATTTCTACCGGGGTCTTAGTTTCTCTCTGTATTAAAGGAAATCCGCGATTTTAGTTGACTCGCTTTTTTCAAAAGAAGGAAACTGGAAATTTGCATGTTAGATGGAGCGAAACTACAAAATTTATTTCTGTTTAACCCGAAGGAAGATGCGCATTTCAATACTTTACCATGTGTGAATTACTCACCAACTTGGCTTCGCACTTGGCCTTTTTCTTGGCATGTCCACTGACTGTTATTATACGTTAGCGTTGGGCTTGAAACGGAACAGGGGCAATTGAAATGACGGGTACCTGCTCTTTCGTCTGCTTGACAATGATTCGTACAGTCTATATACTGATTTTCCGTGTGGTTACACTCTGATTCAGCGAGAGTAAATGTGTCGAAAGCACGGTTCCATTTGCGGGGATTATTTTGTGGCAAAAACCTCGCAATCTCAATGGTTTCTGGCAATGTCATGTGGGCGAAGAAAAACAAAAGTGGCAACGCTCTAGTCAGCAGCATCTCAAGAAATGGGGTTTGAACGCATTCAACGCGACTGAACTGATGAAATGGCGATGAATGGAACGGACTTAAACCTGGTTGATATACGGCGCACAGTACAGCGATGCAAACTTCACTGCGGTTTCATGATATCTGATGACTTTTCTAAAAGGAATTAGAAACTTAGGCATTTCATGTTATGGTTGGAAACCTATTATTGTTTGAAAAACATTAACAGCTATTAACTGACGAAACCAAAAATTCCCTTCGGGGTGTATGAACCGAATGAACACGTCACAACGAATTCCTTGTGCCATATTAGGCAACTGCCTTTGAGCATCTATATAATTAGAAATATCGAAGGAAAACTAACGTTAGGAAAAACACACAGCACACATGGACGATCTTTATGTTTTTACGTTCGTATTTATTAAAAGACTTAAATTTCCGAAATTAAAATTTACCGTAACCATAAATCTCTAAAGTTCAAGCAGATGCCTTTCTGATACATCAACCGTATCGCCATAAATTTACAACACGCAAAAATGTGTCTCCGTTACGTGATTTAAAAGTCTCAATTATGCTTAGAAGGACAATTATATTTAGCCCCTTGTCAAAGTTGTTGTCATCTAGAAATATCCAGTTTGTTCGAATATCAGATGGGTCATATATATGATATGCCATTGTGATAGAGGAAGCAATGGACTACCTAGAATAATTTCGCCAATTGCGTCACGATTGTCATTCCTTATGCTCCTTAAAAGGTGAAATTATTTCCTGTCAAAATGATGATATGCATTTTCTAGTCTTGCCACAAAACCTGGTAAACCGTCTCAGTTTAACAATGGGACTCGCTGTTCGGGATCTTGAAACTATCAGAATAAATCCTTTCTAAATTGTTGAAATCATTACTTCTCGATGTAAGGCTTTGGCCAGGTCCCTCTGCTCTTTTAAGGTAGCGTTCCTCTAAACCTTGACTAACTGGTTCATTTGCGTGCATAGTATCACTTTTGTCTCTTGTTAGGCTATCTGAACAACAACTTTCCAGTGTAAAGAAGACCGGCTTTTCTGCTGAGGTGCTATCGCTCAGGTCACATCCTTCTGCACGCTTAAGGAAACGTTCTTCCAAAGCATTTGAACCAGTTTCAGCAGCCCATTTTGGTCTCATTCTTGTTGCTTTGGAGTGATTTGATTTTAATCTCTTCAGTGTGAAGTAAACGGGCCCTTCCTGGCTTGAGGCAGACTGAAAGGTTGGAAGCCCTTGTCGGCAAACCTCTTCTAAAAAGTTGTACACAGATTCATTTACTTTCTTTGAGTCACTCCGAGCTTTCTTCAAGTTGTCCATTTCAAGTTCTGAGGTGGTTTCTGCTTTGCCTGAGGAAGCTTTCTCTGGTACTCCTGTCCCTTGAAGATAACGTGCCTCTAAATCGTCGAACACTTGCTCAATTGTAAATCTAGCTTCATTGTTGTTGTTAATGGATCTTCTAGAGCCAGACCTCTTTGTGCAGAAGACTAATGCCTCAGTGCAGACGGCCTTGTATTGATCTGGTCCTTTTAAGGTTTTTCCAGCGGATGTCTTGTCATCTACGGAATCATTATTAGCCGCCTTAAAGCTATCCGAGAAACACTTCTCCAGAGTGAAGTAGATGGCATTTTCTGTATCAGGGGTGTCGTCTTGGTCTGATTCCTCTGCGCTTCTCATATAAGGCTCCAAAGCCTTTCGTAGTGTATCTCGTGAATGTTCTGAATAGTTACCAGGGCGCTTACTTTTAATGGCTGTTCGTCTTTTAGGTTTACGTACTACTTCTGCATAAATATGATTATCATAAGCGCCTGGTCCGGAGTCTCCGCCAGTTTTGTCATCAATAACATGAAACACATCTTCGTCCGTCTCAATGAGCTGGCCATTTTTAATGCCTTCTTCACTGTTCGTAGCTGGCTCTTCAAGAACGTTATAGATTGGTTCCTCTCCAGTCCTGACTCTACCATCTACACCTTCGGGGAAATGCAGGACTGCATACACACAGGTGTTGTCTTGTTCATCCTGCCACAAGGGAATTCGGTAGTTTGGCACGTACATGGCTGGAACGAACAGTTCAAAAACCCATATAAGATCAAAAGAAATATTATGATTTAATAGAACTACTGACGTTTCTTCGGATAAGGTAAGAAGGAGAAAAAAAGTATGAGACAAGCAGACAGAAATACATGCAGTAAGCATTACAGTTGAATGGAGAGCCACACAATTTCCCTCTACTGAAATTAGTACAGGTAATAGCATGATTTGTGGTGATATCTGGCATAAATACCACGAGTGATATTTCAAAATTGTTATACGTAATTTCACGAGCCGTTAGGAGAGTGAAATTTGAGACAATTTTGAAATATCACGAGTGGTATTTATGCCAAATATCACGTACAAATCATGCTATTTATTGTTTATACTACTACCCGCAATAGGTTTGTAATTTTCACATGTAGGTATTTCAAATTAAGCTGAAATACCACTGCTCTAAGCCAATCAAATTGCAGAAATTCCTCGTGTAGTAGTATAATATGGGAAATGGGTACAAGCTTTCGGCGCAACGATTCCTGGGATCGTTTTGGTGGACAACCGTTAGTAATTATTGGTTGACGGTATTCAAACCAACCGTTAACCAATCATAAATGACGCTTGAATCCTCAAATGATCCCATAAATCGTTGCGCCAAAAGCTTGTATCCATTCCTCTTTTAGTTTCTGGACTGGGGAATGTGATGACCGCGAGTTGGCCATGTTGCGTCTGGGCCTGGGTCGGTATTGGATTGAATTGTACCAGGACTGTTTTTGGGAAAGAATGCAATCTTATTACTCGCCATACCGATTGAAATTTACGCTAGCGGTTCCAAGGGTTCCCAAGGCAGTCCACAACACCGTTCTTGTTTCATACGATGTCTACAATGACCAATAGTGCAATAATTTACAAAAAAAGGATAAGGATTCAGAAAGTCACCTGAGATGAGTACCATTACATGGAGGCTACAAAAAATCACCACAACAAGAGTTACTCACGTGATCGTTTAAGGGTGTTGGGATCACTTCCATCTTCACCTGTCTCTTGCACTGAGTTTGTTCGCGGGCTCATTAATACTGAAATCTGATCAAAATACACACATAACATCAGTTTCGTTTGCACATATCCATGTCACCATTCTTAATACTTCCAAAAATATACTGTGCCTCCACCCAGAAATCCTCCAACGTTGCTTATGTTCTGTTAGTACTCGTAGCATAGAGTTTTCTTACTAATTGGCTTGGTAAAAAGTCAAGCTTCTGTCTGCAGAATTTAAAGCAGTTTTCCATCTAATCCTACCTTGGTTTCTTCACTCGCGGATCTTGGACGGTATGTACCTCTGTTGATAAAACAAATAGTCTATGAGCTAAGACCCGACAGTAGCTGCTATAACGAGAATAACTTATCACCCTTTTGTTTGACGGCTAAACATATTTTGGTTTTGTGCATTTCAGCAGTTTTTAAGGTCCAGTACTTTATCAGTTCACCAGCTCGAAATTAATGGTGGTTTCAAGTAATGACACATTACCCAACCTCTAAATGTATTTTCCGGTCGTGTATTTAAAATTCAGTGTTTAAAAAGGGAGTGCTCTTACCCTTAGATTTCGCTAAAAATCTCCTCTTAATTATGGCACAGATATTGTAAAATTTGAGGACAAGCCTTTGCAATCCATTTTTAATAACATTACAACATAACGTTAACGAGGGTTGTTGATTTTTCCTTCTGTTTATGCTCATTATATTTTCTTTGTTTGGTCACTGATTCATTACCTTGAATTGCGACGTTTCTGGATAAGAAGTGTAACAACGATAACAGTTAAGATGACGGCTGCCATTATCCCTACAAGGAGGCCAATGACTAAACGGTTTCTGTTGCTCCTTCGCCCACTGCTAACGTTGGGAGGAATCTGGGTAAACAATTAATAAATGCGAGATCAGTCCTCCATCATAGGTGATTTGAGAGATCGACGAATAAAGTTGTGAATAATTGTGACTATAATTTAAATTCAAATAACACACACTTATGGATAATAAAATGGAAATTNCATATTTTGGTTTTGTGCATTTCAGCAGTTTTTAAGGTCCAGTACTTTATCAGTTCACCAGCTCGAAATTAATGGTGGTTTCAAGTAATGAGCACATTACCCAACCTCTAAATGTATTTTCCGGTCGTGTAGTTAAAATTCAGTGTTTAAAAGGGAGTGCTCTTACCCTTAGATTTCGCTAAAAATCTCCTCTTAATTATGGCACAGATATTGTAAAATTTGAGGGCCCCGCCTTTGCAATCTATTTTTAATAACATTACAACATAACGTTAACGAGGGTTGTTGATTTTTCCTGCTGTTTATGCTCGTTATATTTTCATTGTTTGGTCACTGGTTCATTACCTTGAATTGCGACGTTTCTGGATGAGAAGTGCAATAACGATAACAGTTAAGATGACGGCTGCCATTATCCCTACAAGGAGGCCAATGACTAAACGGTTTCTGTTGCTCCTTCGCCCACTGCTAACGTTGGGAGGAATCTGGGAAAACAATTAATAAATGCGAGATCAGTCCTCCATCATAGGTGATTTGAGAGATCGACGAATAAAGTTGTGAATAATTGTGACTATAATTTAAATTCAAATAACACACACTTATGGATAATAAAATGGAAATTAGAGTACTTTATGATAAAAAAAGTATCTGTCTTAGCGTTAAGTCTTTGCTGGTTTCTTGTTTATACCGGGTTTAAAGGGCATGTTCGTGTGAACGTATTTCAGAATAACAATAAAAAAATAAACTCTAAAAACACTAAATTTGTTGTTCATCGCTTTGCAATAGCTAGAAATATGCTCGAAATGAAATATCCCGATGTATATGGCGACTTTAAGTGCCTAAAAATTGCGGTTAAAGAGATTTCCAACAAGACTTTTGCATGTTCTTATTCCGGAATATGATCAATCGAACGCAGCCTAAGTTTTACTTTGTCTACATTTACTTACAATTGGTTCAAAGGAGGATGGATTAACACCTGGCTCTATAGGTCTTGTTGTAGGTGAAACCTCAATTACTTTAGGTACAATTGTCACTTTTGATGAGGCATCGAGAGGTATTGCAAGAGTGCTAACTGTCGCTGTTATACCGCGGGTTGTTGACCACTTATCTGAGGCTGCTCTCAAATGCGTCACCGAAGTAGTTGATGCTTTGATTGACCCTAATTTTATTGAGCTGGAGACTGTTTTTACTGTAGCATCCGATTTAGAGGACCATCTAATGGAGAATTGCTTAAAGGAAGGAGATACTCCGAGTGAAGTATGCGAGATTACCAGTGAAGCTAGTAAACTTGCGGACACCATCGATGTAAGCGGTAAAGCCATGGAAGTTGTTGGTAAAATACTGGATACTATGGGTGTCACAGTAGAGGACTGCAAAGAACTAATGGACACTGTCGGCCAGGCATGTGAGGCTTTCACTGAAGTGACAATAGCCCTCATGGAACTAGGCGAGGCCCTCGGTGTAATCTCAGAGGTTGAGATTCCCAGTGGAGTACTGGAAGTTTCTGGTGAAGACTTAAAGGCTGTGGATGAAGTATGGAGAGCTGTTACTATAGTGCTTGTGGATGACCAATTCGAAGTGATGGGCGAGGTCGTGGGAATCACCGACGTAGCATGAGAAGTAGTCAGTGATGTTACAGATGAATAGGATGCCAGTGTAGTACCAAGGACTGTGAGGGGTGTTGCCATGGAAGCGCTCGACGAGATGATTGGTGTCTGTGTTTCCATGCGTGGCATTGATAACGATGCCACATAGCTCGAAGGATTTGTAGAGTTTGATGGCTTGTTAACACGACCTGATAAAATGATAAAAGCGTGTTTTGAAATAAACTGTCACATTGCTGCCGAATATAAACAAACATTTACAGGACATTAAACGTAAACGATAGTATATCATAGACATGCCGGCGGATAAAGCGTTTTTTTTTTTTTTTTTAACAAAATTGCAAAGCTTACATGGAAAAAAAATACAAATTCAACAATTACAATTAAGAGTAGCAAGGAAAGTATTAGTTAACGGATCTCAAGATAATTGAGGGACGTTCTTGTATGTGCTACTTGATATTGCTCTTGTTTTCACATCAAAGTAGAGCGAATAGTAGACCTTAACAGTTATTACAAGTAGGGTCTTAAGTCCTTTTTTCCTACCAATTTTTTGAATATTGAAAAATGAAGTTGTATATTTAGGAACACTAACTAATGCCCAGGAAGACGATTTGGTTACACATTTAAGTGCAATCCATATTGGCAAAGCGTATGTTAGAAATGAGAAACAAGCTTACAAGTTTCTGTCCCTTCCAATTTGAACACCAAGCAGTTCCTCAAATTTACAATGGTGTTTCCAAGCCATGTTGCGGCGCAGCCCATGACCAGGTTGATGACTTTTCCCTTCAGTAAATGACTATCTTGAACACCTGAGTTTACCTTAAAAAAAAAAAAAAAGAATAAGATTTGCCACTAAAAATTCACTTCCAAGGTTGGATTTATTCGGGTAAATAAACAACTTCGGACACGCAGAGAGTTTCTTCTCGCCTGTAGAAAAAATATCCTGAGTACTTTGAAACATTTTCAGAAAAATCAACGTAGATATATATATATAACTATTATTCACCGAAGTGGAGGTGGCTAGTATTGGATATTTACCGAGGCTGCGAAGCGGCGAGGTATATATATATCCACCACCAGCCACCGACACTGAGGTGAAAAATTGTTTTAGTATATACTAAAACAGTGAGATATTTGAGCACAAAATAATGATGTTTAACTCATTTACTGTTGTCAACGATTACAATTTTGGCGCGAGATGACCGAACGGCCGCGGTCGTCGCTTTTCCTTAGCGACAAATAAAGCTTTTGAAGGCGTTTGTTAAGCTCTTGCGGGGAAGTTTCTTCAAAAGGAGTTGTGAATTCTGTTTGTATTTAAAATAATTCTGTAAAAAAGATTATTAAATTTAGTTTTAAGCTTATTTATGAACAAGTCAACTAAATAAAATAACGCAAGACTTAAGCTTAATTTGCATTTGTAAACAAATTTTTTTCACCGGTTTTATGGATAACTATTCAAGTCAAAAAGACAAATTAAAGCTTTACCTGTTAAAACTTCCAAACCGAACTTCATCACCTTCTTCATGTATTTCGGAAATAGCTTGCTTGATTAGTTGTGAAATTTCTTAGTTTGTTACGGCAGCAAACCGGGAAAGCATTTTGCTCGCAACCTACGCGAGTTTGGCGTCGCTCGCTCGGAGGAACTGGAGGTGAATCAGTGAACAGTGCAGGATATTCACTGATTGATTAGCCAATCAGAGCGCCCGAAAAACACTATCCACTGTTTTAGTATATACTAAATATATATATATTATATATCTCCATTACATTTGACTCATGTTCATACCTGAAGGATATATGGAGCAGTCGGCGAACTCCTCGTAATTGAAAAGAGTCGGGCAGAAGCGTTATATACCTGATTCCTAAACAGATATTTAGAACCATCACATCCCATAAACCATGAAGATGGCAAATACAAAGAACATGTCCACGCTTGCCAAAGCCAGTACTCCAACGAAATTTCCCTCCTCTGGCCAATGGCTAATGTTGGTAAACGCCCATCTCTATTTTCACCGGAGAATGTAGTCGCCCCATCGCAGCCTAAGGAGTGTGAATGATTAAGAAAGTCAAACTTTCAGTAGGAATTGAAGTTTAACTGAGCCACTAATTAAAGACACTGACAGTATCTTTCGTGCGTTAAAATATCCATCTTGACACTATTTATCAATTGATTGCTGCTACACAAAACGAATTCACGTTAGAAAAAGTTAAAAATGGAGGAATGGGACAATTACTTACACATCTTGCTCTAATAACGTGAAATATTGAAATTAATGAAAATACATTAACGTTCATTAACTGTCCCTTTATTCTCTTGAAGGATTTCCATTTCCATTGGGTCAAAAATTTATTGGCAAAATTAAAAGTTCTTATCGACTATTCAAGTTACTTGGCAGTTTTTGTAGCGTCAACTGCCTTCAATTTGTAATGATCGTAGAGATTTCCACGTATCATTTTGCCTTTCTAGCTTTGTCAGAGTAAATCTTTTAAATGAAAAGGGTTCAGTTCACAGTCGACTGATATAATTGTCAGTTATATTGTGTAACAGCCAAATCATCTAGCGTTTTTAACAATATTTGTCGCGATATTTACTCCGGTTTCTCTGCAAAATCAAGAAGCAGAAAAAACAAAATTTTTTTGTAGATGCATGTAGACTTTTAATATACAACCTATTTCACTGAGTGTACCATGAGGAATCAGAATCATAAAAACACGTTATCCTCAATAAATTGCCTTCGTACCGTGCAAAAAAAATACAATTTCACGTCCCCCGGCTTCAATGTGGAAAGGTCTATTTGTTAATTAAATTATTTCAAAAAGGTTATTGGTTTTAACACAAAGGATGTATTATGCATGTTGCTTAATTGTAAAACCCATCTTCAATTTATAACCAATTATTTAGAGACGACGTTCACATTAGATTATGGGTTTGGAGGTTTTGTTTATCCTTTGCTGCTATGATCCGAATAAACAGAATATTGAACAGCTGGTGATTTCAAGTGCATATCGCCTGATCATTCCATACATTTTTTAAGACAGCTTTTTGACACAACGACCCCGACGAATTTTTTTCCTTTTTTTAATTTGCCTTTGCGGTGATGGTAAACTCTCGATTTATTTGATAAACGTGTGGACCACAGTACAAGGATTTGCAGTTTGGTGCTTAATCGTCAAAATTTTTTAATGCGTCTATGCATTGCGCACTTCGAGCGTTTCTAATTTAGAATTACCATCAGAGACGAGAAAGCAACCACTTTCTCTAAAAAAAAGGCCTTTTCCGTTTAAAAGAACGTTCGGTTTAGCCAATCAAACGTCGCTGTAAATACTTAATTCCTTACAATCACTCCTAAAACCCTCTCTTTGAGTCACTCTCAATCACCTGTATTTTGGCGCAAATGCGAAGGGAAAGGGCTAAAATTGCCATTCGCTTACCTGTTTGGAAATGTTTTCTCGCTGCTGCGTTTGTCAAACACTGCCATTGGTTGTTGAAAAATGTGAACGTTGACCTGTTAGCAGCACATGAGCAGGAACAAGTAGAACCTACAGCGTTGTATGAGCTGCATGCGGTGCTAGGATTACTGCATATTGAAGGTGGAACATTAAAAGTATCCAAACTACTGTTGAGTCTAGTAATGTCCAAAGTTTGTGAACACGTCGAGTCAATGCAGAACTTAAACATCACAATTGCCCAAACCCAAAACATGGTTTCCACTCGGTTTTGTCAAGCAGCCAATCTTGCAATTCGATCAAAGGCAACTAAGTCGCTGTTTGCTAGTTAAGTTATTGAATTCACCTCGATTTTCTGTTTTAAATGGAACGTTTTCCTCAATCCAAGGCACAGACACTAAAAAGGACACTCTGAAGTGTTAGCTTAACAGGCCTTCGTATCTTTGTCGGTAGTTAAACCCAGGAAAAGGGTGGCGATGATCTAGTTCTTCATGGAAAACGTTGTCGGTGCGAAAGGCTCTCCAAATGAAGCTTTGAATAACTTAACTTTCTACGTGAACAATACGGTGTCCATGATCGACTGCTTTTCGATTTTTTTGGCCTGATAAAACACATATTGATTGTGAGCACTACTAGTGGGTAGGAATGTGAAGATACAATTGAGTACTCAACCTCTATATTTAATGGCGATACCAATGACTTTATCTTACACGACAGCGCGCCCAATACGCTTACTATTTTGAGTATGCTCATGTAAAAAGAAAAAGTATACAAGTTGGGCTAAAAGAAATACCAACACAAAGGAAAGCATCTGCCATGGATCTTTTTCCTCGTAAAAAAGGTCGTACCTCTTAATTTAAATTTCGATGTGATGTTCATAATCAATCGTCATCGCATGCTTAACACGTAATGGAATAATTGCATATATTTATGAAATTGTGTTTTTATCTCATCAAATTTTACTCATATTTAACGAAAAACAGGTCATGATAGCATATTATTTAAATGTTGACATTGTCACCTAGGTAGCACGTACAATACGTGTAAACATACACAGTGATATCCTATATCTAGAATAAGGTTTTCTCATAAGCGTAACACGGTATTGCTTTCATTTTAGAAATTCCAGATTTAGGGGACCACATAATTATGCTCCTTTGCTACTCGCGTTATGTCCCCAAGTATTTGAGAACTTTTTGCTGCGCTGCCCATTTTGGGATCAATAAATTGTTTAAAAGTGATATTGCATTTCAGCCAAAAGACCTGCCTTAACTCAATTGCTCTACTCAAGCGAAAAGAAAAAAAAAACACCCGCATGTCCCAGAATTTAACTGACTACGCGCTGTGATGATGGTTGTCCTCAAGAACGTTGTAAATCGGCTCATTTGTGCCCTTTGCATAAGGGACTTCAGAATACTTGGGATCCTCCAACGTGTTGTAAATTTGTCCTTCTGATGGGACGGAACCATAATCACCAGAGCTTTGTGCATCGCCAAGTTGACCAGGTGCTTCCAGCACGTTATAAACAGGTTTTTTGCCGTAAGTGATGTACCCGGGAATAATTGGTAACTCCTCTAGGGTATTGTAAACAGGTTGTTCTATGCTCACTGGACCGTTTTGTAAAGGGGCTTCTGAATTTTGTGGCATATTGTAATCTGGTTTAATAGGTTTATGCCCATAGATATTCTGGCCATCAGGGATGTTCAGTGGGGCGTACACGTTCCCAGAATCAGCAGTCGGGTCTTTAACCAGGCGGTAGTTCGATGCGTAAATTTCTGGGGGTAAAATGACCAATACAAAAGACATGAATAATCAAGGAACCCAATAAAGGTGATTAAACTCCTTAAAACTGTAAAGTAACAGCGGATGCGTTTTGAAAAAAAGAAAGCATTGGGTAAACGTGGAACCTAGCATCTAGAAGCCGAAGAAACTATGATAACTTGTGAAAAAGGAACCCTATTTGCACGTATCTGCAATGATTTAACAACTTTAACTTACCCAGTCCATTTTTGTTAATTATAAGACAGTTGTAACCATCATCGTCCTCTTCATAATTATTACCTGCACTATGAAGACAACCCATCTCTACCGTCTCCTGCAATTATTCCAAAAAACATAGTGGAAAGTGATACTTACTTTTTATTATTACTAAAGTAATCCATCGTGCTTTGGACGAGATTCAATGAACCACGGACATGGCGTTAAAGAGAGATTAACACTAACTTATAGTAAGCTTGTCTGTTCGTTGTTTACTTCAAGGTCTTAAAATTGTCGCAGAGCTAACGTTTTGGATACCTCATATGACCATAATATATTGTTCTAAGTTGCTATACTGTATCTGATGTGTATACACGGATTACCTTTTTGGTTTCTGTCTTGTTCTCTGTAGATGCTATAGCGGCATCAGGTGTATTCCTGTGTTTAAAAAATCGCAATTAGATTAATTTATTAGCTATGTAATTGGTCTATGTAAATACGGTGGAAAAAAGAAAACAATTGAATAAAAAAAAAAACAGGCACGAACTTAGCAATATGGCTGAAAAAAAAAACGCTTTTGAGTAAGGAGGCAAGGGTTAACTTATTGGCTTTTTCCATATTTCATCGTAGAATGAACTGCACGACTGAGGTTCAACTTACTTTGGAAGGCAGCGACGATAAACTATAAACCCCACAATGATGCCCATGAGTAGAGCAATGGAGACAGTGAGTCCTGAGATGAGACCAACGGAAGACGACTGATCATCTTGTGTACTCTTCTGACCAGAGCTCGGGCGTGAAGGAAACTTGTGAGTAGAGAGAAAAATCATATGAGATAAGAGTCAAATTCTTGGAGCTAATAAGTCATTTCGTTTACATTTGCACAATAGGTTATTTCCACGATTACGTCATCTTACTATTACGACTAACATTCTTCAGGTTTTGGGCTTCTTTATTTAAACCTCTCTGGGACTACCAAAGAAAAAACAATCAAAACGAATTATGATAGTGGTATAATAAATGACACTAGTCTGCGAGCGGTCGTCCTTCTTTCCTCAGAGCCACGCGTTGCGAGCGAAAAAGTAGAATTATGCAAGTTAATAGCAAAAAAGGCGTCTCCTAGTCTAAACTGACACCATAGTAGAAATTTACCTAAATGGCACATTAACAACACGTTTTGCACTTACTTGAGAAGGTGTAACACTAGTCTGTAAAGAGGAAGTCGACGGCCGAGTGACTATGTGTAAACTGGGTAAAATGCCAATAGTCTTGTTGATTTGGAGAATGACAGAATCGATTGTGATCTTTGAAGCATCAAAGGCACTAGCATCCTTCAACTTCGAAGTTATTACAACTTGTGGCTTCAAAGTTGTCAACGATGCTGTTTTTGTTGGTGGTGGTGGTGATGGTAGTGGTGGTGGTTGTAGTGGTTGTGTTGATAATGTTGTTATTACCATCACCTCAGGCTTTGTAGTTGTTGCTGTCCTTGGTCTAAATATTGTAGCCATCGAAGTCAGCTTCGTTGGTGTTCCTGTTGTTTGCTTTGGCGCATTTTGTTCAGTTGTGGATGACGTTTGTAATTCGGTAAATGAAACTGGACCTATCAAGGGCATTTGTGATTTTACTAAAGAGTAAATCTAAAGAATATTACCCCAGCATCGAACTACTAATGATTTACAGCTTGAAAATTCTTGAAAAAGCTAGATTTTAGACCGTGGGTATACCCTGATTTTTCCACTGGGGGAGAGTGGGACCTTATTGTTGTCATTTTTGTCCGTAAGAGCGAGCAAAAACGCTAGCGTCGGTGTAAAGTGCCCCCCCCCCCCCCCCCCAACCCCCCACTGAAAGGTAAAAAGAGCGGGGACGGGGGAAAAGAAAACACTCCTCCCCCTCCCCCTCCCTCCCCCCCGTCAGGAGGTGTGATGCCGCCGCGGGGGTTTCCTTGT